GTGAGTGGTAAGCTGATTTTTATTTTTACCTAGCACATACAATTGTATGATATTCACAGAAGACGTACTGATCCACACCACATAATTCGCACAGCTAAGAGAATTCACAATATTGAAATTACATAAATGTCGTGTAATAACTTGTGGAATCAAGATACACGAGACCAGCAGATCTTTTCTATACGGAGGTGGTATATCAATAAGCAACATTCATACAATATCTTCTCTGATCAATCTCATGTACAAGAGCTGGCACTTTATAATGCGTCATCCGAATTACCAGAATATGAGATTTTCAAAAAGTGCGAGAAATCTGAAAGCAAAAAGGAATTCATTTGTTGAAAAGGATACACTCAAGATTGTTGTAAAGTATTAAGCAATTTATGCTCCATCCATCTTGGACTACAGAAATTAAAATATTCGGTTACAGAAAGAAAAAGAAAAGTAGAAAAAGAATATTATGACCAACAAAATGCTGATATCAAACAGTTAGATTTTATCAAGTCATCAACATAATGATATGCACGAGGAGATAACATTATTCGGCAAATGTTAATAGATGATAAAACTGACAAATACGATACTTTCTTGATCAATGATCAAGCTCAGGTCGTTCATTTGTAATGATATATAAGATTTATATTCTAAGCTAAATTACAACCAGCGAGGAATAATTTACAAGAATAGCTACAGTAATAATTCTGTCGTCTGCATGTATAAAATTCTACATGTGTCGGGGACCCTGATATCTTAATCCACTTATCGTCTTGAATAGTAGCAAGCATTGCGTACGAGCTCTCAGACAAAAATATGAGCATGGGATAATAAGAATTGGAACTCTTGGCTAGTAGTATACAATAGAGATCCTGATAATTTTACGAGCTAAACGAAATACGGAATTTCGTAGTTAGTAAGATGATAATATAAGATTGAGTTACAAAAATTTCTATCGCAATGTCACAAAGAGAGAAAGATTGTGAGTAGGCGCTCGAAGAATTGAGAAAATACATGCAGTATGACAGTCATTATCGTTTAATGCTGAGATTGTGCACCAATAACCTAGTTAAAACTTGATATACAATCTAACGAAGTTGTATCGTGATGTCAACCAGAAATAATGTTTTTCGCTAAACACATTTCATGATAATTGGGATCACTGATATATAATTTTTCAGGTTGTGATCCCGTATAATTTACTATATTATTACCGCATTAAAAGTTTTTACACTAATAGCTCTCGCTACGTATTCTTATAACGTTATCGAAAATAAGATTGAAAAACAAGATATTTCTTGTAAGAAATCACCCGAAAAAAAATACAGACGAATTGTATGATAGCTTGCCGTCGAGGTTTAATCTGATTGTCTTTTCTTTCGCAGTGTTGCTCAGACAACATAACTGTTAAATGGTGACCGCTAACCATCACCCCTTAGACGAAACTGTGTTATTAAATCTAGAAGTTAATCTGAGCAAGGTTTAAAAGGTGTAATCACAAATCTTTACTATGAACTCATATGGCTTATAGGCAGGAGACTTTTTAAACAAGAAAATGAGTTGAAATTTTGTAATATATAATTAAAGCTATTGAAAACTACCACGCATAGATTGTGTTCTAATATGAATTATCTATATATTTATAATATGTTCAAGTTGTGATCTTAATTAAGCTTAATTGACTAGGTTATTTTGATGATAGATTGTTCCTATATCTGAATTCAAATACAAATAGTGTGATAAGTTTTTGCAATCATACTTCTTTTCCAATTAAATACAAGATATTTATGTTTGAAATCATTATTAATGTAAAAAGATTGATTTATAATGAAAAGTAATGTAATATAAAAGTATATATCCATTTGTCAATGATATTGCATTATTGAATACGTATTATATTAAAGTTTTCTATTTCAAAATATACATTATATGAGTGATAGCTACTTGATTTGGTTATTAGTTGGATCCGCTTTGTATAGATAAGTATTCTTAAGTTTATATAAAACTTATATATAGATAATATTGTTCGAGTTTTATATAATGTTTGATATCCACTTGGAGCAAATATTAGATTTTTTAGTGTGATAATTTTTGTTCGATACTTCTATTAACGTTCCAAACAAAAATTACGATGTGTCTGAAATTCACACACCTGGCGATCATGAGACACTTATTTAACAATAGATTATGTTCAATACTGAAAAAACACACATGTGTGTTGTCATCCTGATTAAAATTCACAATATTAAAATGATTGTGAAACGCACTTGAATTTGTCAATATTTTATCATCTGTTTGGGGGGAGTCTATTTTTATACATTTATCATTTTCTGATTCAAGTCTCTAAATTTATAACACATCCTTCGAGATTTACAGTGTAGCATTATCAATAAATGAAATGTCGTCTCAACTCACTAAATTAAAAGGAGATCAAGATAATCGATGGTAACACGGAATGCTAAATCTAACGACTGTCATAACAGTTTATGTAATCATGTCAAGACAAGACTGACCCTTCATTGTTGGACAAGATATTATTCAAACCACTCGGGCGGATATTGGAAGCATTGAGATTGGTTTCATTAACATACTTTATCATTGGGCACACAATTTTATATTACCGTAGGTTAATCCACTGAAATCTATACTATTGGTGAAATACGGCACAATGTCTAATAACCCCATCACTCGTCAAATGATCACACCAATATAGATTATAATAAAAAGCTACTTGATTGATAAGTGTTAGAGTGTTTTTTGCTTCATTCCTGAAATGATTCAAACCGGGAATGACGAACATGTCTGTTAGAATATAAATCGTTCAGTTGTATGCTAGATCAAATACGATAAGTATTATAACTTGGCTTAAGACTAGTAGAAATCGTTAGATGTTTTGTTACCAATAAATGTCTCTCGAAGGAAATAAACACACCTTGGTTTGGTCTTGATATATATCTCAAATGTGTCTTTTACTTAAACCTTAGTGTATTGGCTACGAAGTAAAACACTAGTGTTTGTATCTTGAATAGAAAATTGCTTATTGGCTGGATGATCTCTGTATAATGATGCTCACATGCGATCATCTGTATCTGAAATACGCGTGTCGTAGTCCGGAACTTAATAGTTTAAGAAGAATTGTCCAATGAGACAGTAAAAATATTTACACTCGTATAGTGTGTACATAGATACAAAGTCTAACAGAGATAAACACTGAGATTTCTGTCTCAGACGAGGTAACTGTGTGGCATTTGTCCTTGCGAATAAGATAGTGATAACGCCCATGATGTGTCATAGTATAAACTCAGTAGTTCCTAGAGAGTTATATCTTGTGAAAGTATTGTCCTGATAAAGTTTTGAAGATAGGTTCAATTGATATAATCATACTGTCAATAATGGAAGAAGTGAGAGGTTGTTTCATGAAACCTGTAAATGCAAAAAGGTGATAGGACGAAATTTTTAAGAAAAAAAATGTCTTAAGCAAGTCATTAAAGTTTGTACGAAAACAGGCGCGACAAATTTGAATTTACATTTTCCAGAGTGAAAGTATTCATTTTTCAACACTTAACATATTGTAATTAATGATCCAATAGGCATATGGTACCTTTATCTTTCATTGGTGAACCGTGCTACCACTTCCTTAACAACATCCCCGGACAAAACTTCCGAAGGAAATTTCGAAATTTCTTTGGACATGAACATTGCACATCATCACCAATCTTTTGATTATCTCAAATCATATACTAGTATTTGACGTAGCTATCGGTTTTCTTTTAATTTCGTTTATTTAGAATCTATTCGTCTTTTCTCTTAACATTTAGAATTCATAAAATCAATGTTTTTATGGTAATTATATAAAAAAAACTTTTATTTACTTAATATTTTATCTTACATATTATCATTTATCTAAATTGAAGTTTTCATTTTATTAATTCAAGTCTGTGATGGTCAACTTTCATTTATTTTCTTCAAGTTATATGTTACTTTGTAAAATGATAGTGATATCAAAACTCTAAAATCTTCAACAAATAATTAGCAAGGAAAATTGGTCACGCTAGACTTATAAAAATTAATGTTTCATGACAAGGCTATACGTGAAAGAACAGATCTTTAGTTACTTAAAGCTACATGCCTCCAGATGAGTCCAAATATTTCAATAAAATCATACTTGAGAAAAATGTACTTAGATGTAAGGAAAAGTAAAACGTTTAAAGATTCAAGTAATATTTCACGTATTATGTGTGATTAATGACTGACTTTTCAGTATTTACAACTATATTTCAATTGCGTTACTAACGCAGTAAAGGCTATTTATGCATATTTTGACCACTTTTTGGTAATAAACGTGGTTTGTAAGTGTCATTGATTATGTGTAAATTGCTTCCTTTTGGTTAATTCACAATATTACACATTCAAATACATTTTCAAAATTTTCATGAAAATTAGCATGAATCTAGAGGCGTGCTGCTTTAATAAGCTCATATTTCAAATTCACAATTCACATAATACAATGATAAACATGAAGTTTATTAAAACTGAAGCGTAAGTTGGGAGCTTAGTGGTTAAGGCGATAGCTTCTCAACCCAGGAGCCGTTTGTACAAACCATACTGGGATCACACTCATGTAACTATGTGTTCTCGTGTTACACCATTACTGAAGTGTTCTATCAAGCGAACTGGAGAGTAGTTCAAAAAAGTTACATGATTCTTTATAATTCAATACATAAAATAAAGTTTAATCTGAATGAAAAATTGTTTTCATGAGAAACAGTTCATCTTTCTTCTTTTGAATGTGTGTGCATGAAAAAGTGATCAAATCAAAAGTCAATATAGTAAGTTTCAAATTTTCAATGAAACCTATTCAAATCTTGGTAAATATTTGAAAGAGTGGAATAAACAATACTTGTTTCAGTACAAACAATATGATTATTTATTAAATTATAAAACTTGATTTAACTTAGAAATACAAGTATGTGTACATTTATTATTGAGAGGTTGCACGTTTAATTTCAGATGTTGTTTGTATGGTGTATATGGCTAAATGTTAGCAACAACCAGGTAGAAGGAGGTAACTAAATCTACATCAGTCTTTATAACAGATAGTAATGCGAAATTTTACTTTATAAATTGAAATCGACCTATATTTACATAAATCAAATTAAAAGAAAAATATTGCATAATGAAGTAAAACAGGTGGTAGTGGAAGTGGTAATACAATAATATATTGTTTTTTCCAGGAGCAGAGATTGATGAAAACTGTAAAGAAAATTGTGTATGCTGTAAACAAAGATCATGTGGACTAAAATTTAGGTTTCATAACGCTTGTAATTTAGGCTGTATTGATGGTCATAGAGGTGCACGCTGTTATGAACTATGTACACACAATTGTACAGAATGCGAAAAAGGTGTAGATGAGTGTACTGCTTGTTATGATGGATATTACCCCGGGCGTGCTGGAGACTGTACATCGCCATGCTTACCCGGATGTAAAACATGCACGTCAGGTACCACATGTACATCATGTAAGGAGGGATATAATAATGACAATGGTGGAAATGATTGTAGTAATCGTTACTGTCCTGAAAATTGCTATTGTGATAATGGTAAGTGTGCATCATGTAAGGGCGGATATTACGATACCAGTAATATATGTTCAAGTTTATGTCCAGGCAACTGTATCACGTGTTCGTCGAGGACAGATTGTGGATCGTGTAAGGATGGGTATTATAACGGTTACCAGAACGACGCCAATCTTCCTTCGTTAAATGACTGTACATACAAATGCCGAGACAAGTGTGTACGATGTTCGTCCTATAACAGTTGCTCGCTTTGTCAAAGTGGTCATTATGGACAAAACTGTGAGAACAGTTGTTCAGCCGGTTGTATGTCAAACACTTGCGATATACTGACTGGAAACTGTTATTGCTCTCCTAATTTTTCTGGAGTAAGATGTGACAAATGCAAAACCGGGAATTATGGAAATATGTGCGATCAGCAATGCTCCGCAGGGTGTAAAAGTAGCGTGTGTGAAAAAGATTCCGGAAATTGTACTGACGGATGTTCTATAGACACGATCGTTGGGGATAAATGTAACATTTGTTTAATCGGCTGGTATGGGCAATACTGTAACACATCTTGTTCTGTTGGCTGTAAAAATCAGCAATGCGTGAAAAGTAATGGTGAATGCTCATATGGATGTGTTGATAACTTTAAAGGAGGAAATTGCAATCAATGCAAACCTGGCAAACATGGGGAGTCATGCCAAAGTGACTGTCCAAAGAACTGTGACGAGAACGGCTGCTTTAAAGAGTCCGGTAATTGTAAAAATTGCCATGACAACTTTGATGGAGAGAACTGTGATAGATGTCGTCTTGGTTTCTATGGTTCATTTTGCTCCGTGAGATGCCCGAATAATTGTTTGAACAATGTATGTGATAGAGATACCGGCACGTGTTCTGATGGTTGTTTAGACAATTATTCTGGTGATAGATGTTGTATAAGTAATAAAAACTGTATCAAATGTTTATCAGATACTACCTGTAAACAATGTAAGGCTGGATACTTTAAGGACAAATGTGACAAAAAATGTCCACAGAACTGTCGTCTAAAGGCCTGTCATATCGAAACTGGTCTTTGTGATGGTTGCAAAGATAACTTTTATGGTGATAGTTGCAACTTTTCATGTGCCTCTACATGCAAGACTCAAACAACAACAAGTGGAAGTATATGTCAGCAAAGTAACGGAAAGTGTCTATATGGCTGTGTTGATGGTTTCCATGGTTTACAATGTTCTGAGAACTGTTCCGTTTATTGCAGCGATACTCTATGTGATCAAGACGACGGCAGATGTACAAAAGGTTGCAAAACAAGAGTAAAGGATGACCCCATTTGCTCCTCGGATTCTGGTAAGTTACGATTACTCTTTAATCACTATTAAATATCCCTATTGTGTTTCGCAACCAAAGCAGTTGTATAAATTACACAGACCGGTATAACAATTTAAAAATCTACAGTTAAGGCTAGAAATAAATGTAATTGTTCAATGGAATATCATCAATTTGAAGCATAATTTTAATAATATACATTTTAACAATTCTTTTAATTAATCAAACACTTAAGTGATGTTGATATTTTCAAATCATAGAACACAATGTACACATTTGGTTGTTTAAAATCTAGAATTTGTAGGTTTATTTTGTTATTATAAGGTTTTAATTAAACGTTTTCACCGAACAACTGATGTACATCAGTCCTCTAATATCGAATATCTATGTTCTAAGATGAAGATAAAGATAGACAGGACAGTTTGATTGAACCAATAGTTGGAGCAATCGTTGGAGTTCTGGTAGCAACAGCAGTAATTGTTGGTGTTTTTCTTATCTGCAGACGAAGGTATTCTTTATAAACTATTTATATTTTTTTAGTTTTAATACCATTATATATCAAGGTTTTTTTATTTGAAAGATACTAGACGCGTGTATGTGTAAATCAATTAATGCTTGTCCAGTTGTCAGTGTGAATACTTTTCGTGTCGCATTCTTAATTTTTACAAACCACATGTTTTATTGCCAATTGATGGTGCTTTTAAATCTAAATTAAAAAAGAAACCATTTATATTTTAAGGTTTTGTTGTTGTTTTTTTACACTAGACAAAGTAACAAATCTCAAGGACAACGTTCAGATCTTGAAAGTACTCAGTCTACCAGGGAAGACGAAAAGAAGCATACATATGGAAACATTTCTGGTAACAATTGTATTGCTTTACTACAGCAACTTGACCTTGTATTCCTCAGACGCCATTTTATGCGTAAATATATGTAGCGAAAAATGGAAATTACAAATCAAGTTATAAGAAAATCTTAAATACCAAAATTGTTTGAGAATATTTTAAAATATATCATACCAATAAGATGTATTAAATTTGAACACGTTTTGTGTTTTACTTTCGGATATATTCTTAATATATTAACATTCCAAAGAGAATGCAAAAATGATATATTTCTACAAAGACATGTAACTACTTAACTATTAAACTATTGGCTTTAACATTATAGGGCCACTAAAGTCTGTAAGAAATAACAAATTAACAATCAGTTAGTAGAAAACAAATGTAATATGTTCTACTTTTAACTAGTCCATTTAAACCTATTTGAAGATCTGTGAATAAGGCTGATCTAATATAAAGGCTTACATGTTTGCCTATTTAGTTAGAATTTTCATGAAAAAATACTTGTTACTGTTGTCGAAGATTAGTGTACTGTTCTAGAAAGGCCATCATCAAAGGCAGATAAGGAAAGGAAGAGCGTTTTAAGTATACCACCATCTACTGCAGTAGACACAAAGCCGTCGGGGAACAAACCAAGATCACCAGTCCCTGTGACATCTTCGTCAGTTGATATTGATGAGGTAGAAGTAGATGAAGTTGAATATGAGAAAAAGGCTGATAATACCTACTATAACATTAGAGAGAGTCCGTACAGAATTAAAGTAGACAACCTACTTATATATGTTACATCTGGAAAAGTGGACTTCGACGCTGAATTCAAGGTTTGTATGTAAGCTAAAATTGAATTTGCTGCTACAATTGATTAACTAAACTGATTAAGCATGTAAATACTCAGATTTCAAATATTTTAAATATAATTTTTAGAGATTGAAATCCTATTTTTGTTTTACACATAGCGAGTATTGTACGCTGATTAAACGGGATAGTATTACATGACAAGTTGTTGCTGATTAAATACACTAAATGGTCCACATAATTTGAAAAATGATACAATCTCATTACATTAAAGTATAATTTCAACCGCCACTTAATTTTAGAAGGAAGATATAAAAACACAACTTAGATCTAAGCCTAAATCTTCAACGGAAACCTCATACAGAAATAAATGAAAACATTTTGTTGCCAATTAAAAAACTTAGGAAAATTAAAAATAAGGCGTTCTTATTAGCCACAAATGCAACTTCCGTCACTTATGAGTATTTTTTCATGCATTTAGATAATGGAACATGATGTAATATTTTTAGTTTTTTTCATATTCATAAATCATCACTACATACATCTGCTAGTTATTTAAAAAAAACACACAAAAGGCTTGTACAGTGTTGTTTTTAAATACCATATTAATTCGACTTCCTTATTCTTTTTTAACGTGTTTATTTAATCTATATTTTTTTTTATCTCACGCGTGATCCAGGATGAATTTGAATAATAAATGTCATATATCCTTAAATCACACGCTTTGAACTTCCTAGTATGGTCGTTATATATCGACGAGGTATAACAAGGATAAATAAATGACCACTTGACACGCGATTTTATCTCATAAAAATATGTTGATTTTACTTTGATTATGCTAATTTTAATGGAACATCTTCATACTTTGCTTCTCGAAAATTTCTTGTTTACATATATCTTTTCTTTTTTATTTACTAGAAGTGTGTATATACGTAATTGCAATAAAAGTTTGAATCTTGATATTGTAATTGTGTGTGCTCATCTCGTGCTATTATATTAATATAATTATCAATGGTTATAAGATTACAACATTTGAAATATTCAACATTTTTGTCGGTTCTTTCAACTCTTAATAATAAAGATCTATACCGTAAAAAGAAGTTTATTGTTACATAAATTTTTGTGCATTTTTCTTTCTTTCATACAAAAGTAATAACGTATAGACACGGTATTTAATTGACTTTTAGATAGCTCTATAAAGACGCTTTTGAGCAATGGTTCTTCTATACATGTCGCCAGATGCAGCATATAGTATTGACAAAGTTCCGGATCCCGCATAACCATCAACAAAATATTATTTCTAAATTAACTCGTTGGTTTCCGTTGGCGACCATAAATAAACGAATAACTCACAATTTAACCACGCTTGTTGATTAAGTAAATATGTAACGAAAGTGGCGCAATTTATCGACCTTATACGAACTAAACATAAATTGTCGTAAATGCTAATTACTTACAGGTCAATATTTGTATAATATTTTATATTATATAATTTTGTTTTCTTATTATGTAGAAACTCAACAAAGATTTAGATTTGACAAAACACTGCAGCGTCGCTAAAGATCCTCAAAATTTGGCCTTGAACCGGTATAACGGAATTTATCCTTGTAAGTAAATGAATCATTTGTTTATATGCTTATATTATAAAAATGCACTTTAAAGCTTCAGTAAGTGTTGCAGATGTAAGGATGTTGAAAATTAATAATTGCCAGATGAAGCACGACATCTCCACATTTATGAAAGGTTCGGACAAAAATCGTTTAAGATAAATGTGCAGAAAACTGACAATAATTTTATTGTAACCTACATGTTCATATATTTTCAGAGAAGAATATTCTACTGTTATTTTGTTTCTGATATATTACTTACTTTGGAGAATAGAACACCAAAACTATTATCAATATATATAATTCGAAGTTAATATCCGTCTTCCTGATGGCAACAAATCTCTTTATTGTACGACCAATATATTACTTCCTGGTCACATAAATAAATTGTCTAGTTTGATTTTAGATGACCATTCCAGAGTGACCATCCAAGACCTGCCAGATTTCTTTATAAATGCTTGTTACATAGATGTGAGTACAGTTTATATATATTTTTTACAAATTTTAACTTATATCACGTGTCTTCAAGACTGTTAGGGTCTTACTGTAACATTCAAGAGTAAAAAGAACATGAAAACAGTAACCCCCCCCCAATATTTATTTCATTCCACGTTATCTAAACAAAAAAGAACACACGAGTGTCAATAGAACAGACATGTATATTGACATAAAATGTTAAATTAGTTTCACTGATCGCCAAGTGAACTATTGCGTTTTTTAAGATTATCTTTAAAAGTATATATGTGTCAGGTATGTGTTAAATTATGCAAAATTGGTATGTATTAATAAACAATGGAAAAGAGAGATTCTTTACATGTTTTTTTTCCATAAAACATGCTAAAGGCGCATTGTGGTATTTATGATTTATTCATCTTTTCATTTTCCCGTCTGTTTATGCGAAAATATTTCTGTCCACCTTGAAGCATTTAGCTTTAAGGTAAATTGTAAATAATTACATCTCACGTTTGTGAGATGTTATTTCTTTCAAGAAGGTACTTGATCTGATACTGTGAGATTTTAATATTTGGCACTTTGCGTTATATTTTGAAATAAAAAAAACGTCCATTTTCTATCATTCGTTTTAAATGGAAATACTATCTTAAATACGTATTTCTCTTTTGGGATATGTTTCATCTTTTCTTACTTCCTTAATCCTGCATTGTTTAATTTTATTATATAATATAAATAAAACATATATCCTGTACCTATTTATTATAAAAACAAACTCAAGAATAATAACACATTAATCGTTACAACCTTTTAGTATTATATATCTGGGATGTGATGCATTGTTTTATACTATTTATATATTTCAGGGTTTCTGCAAGAGAAAGAATATATTGCATTCATTAGGTAATATTTAGGTATAATTTGTGTCTTTGTAATAAATTTCAATAAAATTACTGTTATTTATTTTGAGGAGATTTTAATTCAGGGGTTGAAGTAGGAACCATAGGTTTATCTCAAGTTTGTACAACTCTGAAAAATAGTTCTCGATTTATCAAACTACCATTGTTCGTTTCAAAACGGGCAAAATAGACCTTACGACATGTATCAAAAATTGTTCAGATGAAAATTTACCGTTTAATTATTTAAACTATTTAACTATTTAATTCCAGTCACTGATCGATCAATACTCACTATTTGGTTTGTAATATGATATATGTTTCAGATTTACTATATTTTCGTATTCTATGAAACAATTATAAGGAAAAAAACACCGCGTGATATAAAATATAAAAAAATGTCAATTTGATATAAGGTTATTATAAATTAGAATATTGCAGTCTTGGTTACCTCCGCATCAACACACCAAATTCCTGATGTTCTGCCCATTGAACTAATATCGTTCAATATTATGTGAAAGATAATATAAAATATATAAAGTATAATATCATTCAAGAGGCTGAGGGCCCTTAAACATTGAATTGTTTACATAGATCAAGTAAAGCACTTCAAATGGAAAAATCTGAAAAGGATAATAAAGAAATTTACTCATAACTAAATTGAAAGTGCAATTTGAATGAATAAAACGTTTATTTTTCTTGTTTTTTATGTGGTTTTTTTGTTGTTTTTTAAAAATAATATTATCACTCTCGTCATGTAAAAAGAAACTTCAGTGAAGTCCCTTTAAGTTATCAGGGTATTTGCCGTATGACCAAAATATCATAAAACGCAATTCAGCTTATCAATTTCAAGATAGAATTCCTTAATATTTTTATATAAACTTTTTTCACTGTTTATTTCTTTTCGAACTTCCGACCTGTCTTCAAAATAATGTTTCTACACTTTAATACATGTGCTGCTATTGTATATGTTCGGAGTCTGATATCATGTTTTTCTATGTAAAGGGCCAACATCAAAGACCACTGCTAACTTCTCCACGTTCTGGCTGATGGTATGGTACAAGAAAACGGACATTATTGTCATGTTAACCAATCTTAAAGAAACATCTGTAAGTAATCAAAATATAAATACAGGCATGAAATTTTCCTTATCACTTTTTTATTTGTGTACTTAAGAGGGATGATTCAGTTGTGACGAATCGTTTACGTTAAATAAAATCAGACTATTTCCTTGTTTACATCCTGTTTGAACAAGAATGTATTTTAGTTCAATTAGTAATGCATTTATAATTTTTTGTTTGTTTTAATCCAAATAATTTTGATTCTTTAAAAATGGCATTTATTTGATAATATACATGTTCAGACTTTGTTTGAAAAGGTTTCTTTGTTCCTGTCTTTCTGCTTCGTTCTATCGGAAGGAGAAGAACGAGACAACTTTTGTCTTGAACCAATAACCTGCAGAATGTCAGTAATGGATTTGTCCTGCTTTGAATTTGGAACAGTCCATTCAAAGTTTAAGGGTTTTCAATATAAAATACAAAATTGAGATGCCAGCGGATAAGAGCCTGGTCAGATTGTGCCGATGAGCACACTGGCTTAGATCTTTACTGGCCACAAGGGCGAATTACTATTTGTACTAGCAGGATACGGGTTAAATATGGAACGTTTTTATCATCAGGGTATGAAATGTGAGCAGTACTGGCCGGAGGAGGATACGGAGATAGAGTACGGGGATATAACAGTAAAATGTCGGAGTGTTGAAGAGTTTGCTGAATATACTGTCAGGACTTGCACTATAATAAAGGTATAGTCCCTAGGTCATGCTGAAGATTTTTTCTTTGTCTCATTCCAAAATTGAGAAATAAGAAAAGAGATTATGTTCAAGATTATCGTGATGCTGCCTTTTACATAAACTATGTATTTTAATTTTCCGGTTAACAGTTGACATTAGTGTAGCGTAATCTCAAACTGTAGATAGATTTTGTATATCCATTTTCCAACCGTTTTGTGTTATTTTACCACCATAGAAGCCATTAAACATCCTCTTATCAGAAAAAAATGCTTTTGAGTATAAAGATTTAAATGTCCTCCTTCATCTTCCGTACGCAACGAAACTGTCTTGAGAACAATAGGGTTTTCTTTACTGATCAATGGGTATCTGCATAAAAGTTTCTGCTTTCAGGGAAGAAAAGAAAGGCAGATAATTCAACTACACTTCACAGCATGGCCAGATAAAGGGGTTCCCCAGGAGGTGACAAGTCTTGTAGAGTTCAGACAGAGGGTGATTGCAGTTCCTAAGACATTAGGTGGACCAATTATAGTTCATTGCAGGTACTGTATACATGGTTATTCCACACACACATAATAAAAATTAACCAATAAACTTTCAGTATTTGCATCACGTGCCGTTTCAAACGAAATCATTGTTAAACCCAATCATATGATATCAGCCTGGTTTGCATTTCCAGAGTACATTAAATCAATGTCAAATGCATTTTGTATACCAAATAACCTCATTTTTATTTTCAGATTCCAAAACATCCGTTGTATATCAAAAGTATATTGTACAACATTAAGCCTAATTATCATTTTCAGAGTCCAAAAATATATCATTTATCAAATGCATGCCATACAACATCAATCATTGTTTTCGTTTCTAGAGTACAAATATGTACGGTGGCATAGGGGTGACATTATCTTTTGGCCTCGACTTATCTACTTGTGGCCATGACTTATTAGCTTGTGGCCACTAGATATTATCTCATGGCCACGACTTATTTCAACCTTACTGTAATATATTAAAGTAAAACAGTTTTGTCTTAATGTCCAAAATGATGATGTGGAATAAACCGCTGATTTATGCGTAGCAGGGGACGTATTGATAATATTGGACTGGTAAACTGCTGCAAAACTTATGTTAGACTCGGCTAGAGCCTTCTGTCGAATTGAACTGTTACCTCGGTCCAATAGAAATTAAGTAGTATCTTATACTCGAAGCTAAATATATAATTAAACCTCATTTGATCTAAGAGAACTAATGATACATTTATTATATCATACATGGTTCTTTAAATAAATACAGGTCAGAAGTGGTTAAAATTTAAAGGGTATTGTCATGGTGTATTTCAGGGGCCATATTATGGGGTTCATTTAAAGGTATATTGTAATATTAAAATTAATTGTATTTCAATAATACAATTATTTCAAGTTTATGGGTTAAAATAATGAAATAAAAAAATATATAATTTTCCTGTCTGAAAATAACACAATTTCGCCTTTACCTACTAAATTACCCAGGGTTCACTCTGCCAATAAAACCAGTTGTTTTTGGCCATTACCTATTCATTTTATTTAAAAATTGGTTTACAAAAAAACAATTTAAGGGATTTTAGTGCACAAAAATTTGCCCCGATTTATTGTGTTTTAATAACACTTTGCTTTTAAAAAAAAAATTTTGAGCAACCCTTTCATTAAAACCCCGTTTTTGGGTGGGGTGGAAACCCCCTTATAGGTGGATTCAAAATCCTATGCGTAAACTGATTTTTATCAGATTGTACTATCTATTTGTTTCTTATATTTCAAGTGCTGGAGTAGGAAGAACCGGAACATATATCGGTCTTGACATTCTTACACAGGAAGGAAAAAGGACCAAATTCTGTTAGGATGTATTCGATTTGTAAAGAATAAACATTCCCAAAGAGTCAACATGGTTCAAAACCATCTTTTTAAGTAAAACTTCAAAGGGAATTTTACCAAGCTCCCAAAAGCCTACAGACAATTTTGGTATAAGCCCGTTCGAAAGAACGGGCCATGTTATAGTTTTTTCCCCTTTGGCTGGCGGGTGCGGCTTGGCGTCCATTTAATATTGTCTTTGTAAGCACATTCTCCTACACGCATTGAGGAAATTTTTTTAATGAAAACTTCATTAGTTTAATGTTCACCACCTATAAGGAAACTGTTGCCCACATTAAAAACCAGTCTCTTGGTCCCAAAAGTTCAAAAGTGCACTTACGGGCGTCGTTGAAAAAACGCTTGTCCTTAAGTGAAAAAGATTTGCAAACACTTTTCAATTTTATATCATTTTTTAACAATGTAATGATTCATTCTGGGAGAAAAAACGGATCA